AGTCCTTTACTTATGATTGTTACTGAACCTGGTAATTATGGTTGTAAGTCATGATGTGGTCGTAAAGCACATTTTACTTTTTTTGGCAGCAATTAAGTGAATGGTATGGTCATTTAATGAACCCATTGTTCACCATGAATGATTTTTGCTGGAAACCAAAGTAAATGCAGGTTTTCAGCAAAAATGTCATAATCACATGACTACAAGACACTGGAAATGGCTGTAAATGCAGGCCAATTTGGATTTAATTTCATTATGAAGATTTCCCAATAACTGAAACTTGTTCACAGATATATGAGAGTTGACCAGAAATAAAAGTCAGTGGGGAAGCCCACAGGAACAGATCTCTGAACCAGCTGAGACTGAGTTGAAGACTGGGGAACTTTACCAGGGAGGCATATCCTCAGAATTCAACTCAGTCTGAAGAGCACATGACATAAGACTACCCACTCTGGATTCCCCTCATCAACTCAGTGGAGAATCAGAGGTCACGGTTACAAGATGTCCCACTTAACAACCTCTAAGTGATTTACTTAACACAGTCACAGTCCAAACTGACGTTGAAGTCAGCGCAGTCATTTGCAAAAATATGACATTTCACTTAATGACTGTGTCATTTAGTGATGGAGTTACCGGTCCCAATTGTGTTTGGTGAGGACTAAATGTATAGGGGGAAATGATATGAGTAGATAATTGCCTGGGAAAGGGGACATTTATGTTGTGACCGATGATTGAATGAATACTATCCACATAGCATTATTTTTATCAGTTATGCAGCTTGGTGCCCTCCAAAAATGGAATGGAAATCCTAGCCAACATGCAGAAATTGAGTCAGTGCTAACTAGCTGCTGGCTTTGCAGTTTCTGGCAGAAAAACCTCTTTCTCATCACCCACTAACATTTTTTAAAATGGTGAACCCAAGGACCCCACCAGGAGTCTTTGACAGGAAGGCTGCTCTTTCCCCCTCTGCTGGGTCACAACAGCAATTCAACAGGTTAAGTCTTAGCCAGCAGTTTAAAGTTATACATCCAGAAAATACCTGCATTTTCCCAACTACTCTGAGAACTACAACCCCTTTAGTCCAACTAGAGCTCTTTTTGAGGAAGAGGAGAGGGTGGGAGAAACTGGCAAAGTTCCAGATGTTGTTGAGATTCAATATCCTTCATCCTTGACCAGAGCTGAGGGTACTCTGGAACTGTAGCCCAGCTACATCTGGAGGGTTGACATGTCTCGATCCTGCCCTATTCAACAGGCCACCCTAGCTCTCAGTTTGACTACCACAGAAGAAAAGAGCGAGCGAGGCAGCTGCAATGACATGTTTCCTTTTCCAGAAGGCTAGCCCTGCTTCTGTTTAAGAGGGAAAGTACACAGAACTATATCTTAAACATCCTCTTGTGTCAAGATGGTTTACTCATGCAAACGGTATTGATTTCTTGTAAGTTGAAACGAGCACGCAGAACACTTTCAACAAGTCGCCAAGAGGCTGAATCATTAAACCAGCCGAATGATTTAACAGCTCCCTTCCTCCCAAGGATATGTTTCCCCTACCCACCCACTCACTTGCTGCTAGGAGAAACGAAAGAGCATAAATTATATATGTGACACATTGCAACACATATTTTCTTCCTTCTTAAAGGGGCCCAGCATTTTTTTTTTAAATAAAAAGATCTCATTTTATCTAAGTCAGAAACTTGCTTATAAGTAATTTAGCAACTAATCACTTACAGTTAAACTGGAAGTGCCAATTAAAGGGCAGAGTGGATGTGAGCTCTTACGATAGTGTGGCATTTTTTTAAATTCTATCTCTCTTTTTTACAGCTTTTCACCATGTGCCAGAAACTCAGCTCAAACTAACATCAGTTGAAGTGTAGTGTAGTGCAGAAAAAGGACAATTAATTGCACAAACGTATTTGCATTGCGCCTTCTATAAACTGGCCTGACCTGCCTGCACATCAGTATAATTAATTATTGTTTTTATTGTTACATTGAGGTATCAGCCAAGTTTCCACACAAGAGAAATAAATCAGTGCTTCCATAAAATATACCTCTTAAAAAGCTCTTCCTTCCCCCAAATAAAACACTGCATTTAAAAAATCCATAGAAAGCAGCCAAACGGTGAAAAAACTAAATGGTTTTTCACCAGTCAATAGAAGGTAAGTAAAGATGTTTCTTGGACAATTTCCCGGGCAAGACATTCTATAAATGTAGATTTACATTTGCATGTTCTACATAATTTATTCTGCTTCCAGTGCTTATATTTTCACATTATTTTGTTCTTGCAATGAAGAATTAGATTAAAAAATGGTGCTGCATTAAGTGAAATGGATCCAAGCATAACATAATTCTACTCAAAACTAAGAACCACTGAATTCCATGAACCAATTCTCAAATAACAGTGGGACCTTTCTCTGGATGGAACACAATGGATATAGAGGGGCTTAGAAACAAGAGTCATAAAGTCATAGTATGGTATTTATTTTCTTTTTATAATCTATTCTACTTTTGAAATTTGATTAATTTTCCCTCTCACAAGTGACATGCAATAATGAGCAGAATTTAGTTAGCCAGATTAAAACAATCAAGCAAGAGTAGCAGAACAAAAATAATGAAAGCACCAATATACAAGAGGTGTAATTATACTCTCATAACAATTCTCAAAGAACAAAGTCAAAGTAATCTACCAACCAGGCTCTCTTTTCAAACAAAATATCTTAAGCTGCCACTTAAAACACAATAAAGAAGATGCCTGATGCCTAAACATATAGCCATAATAATCAACGTTAATTAGTCAGAAGAGGGACAAATTCTTGAATAACGAAGATAACAATGGTTTGAAGTTAAAAGAGATAGCTAATCTTTTAACTTCAAACAATTGCTAACTTTGTCTTTAGGTTCAATATTTATCTCCATATATGGAGAGCAGCAGGTGAGGCAAAACTCACATAAATCTTAAGTCAAGCCTATCTCTAGTCCAGCATGGCTTGTATTAAATTTTTACAAAGATATTCCAAGCAAATACAGCCACAAAAATATCTTTCATCTGACCTTTGAAATTCAGGGCATGCAGGAATTCATGCCTCTGAAGCAAATAACATCCAGGTAAGAGCAAGTAAGAGTTTCTTGTCCTTCAACAGGCAACAAGGAAAGATAAAGTACAAAAATCACCAGTATATAGTATTTTTTTAGGTTTGGTTTGCTATATAGGTAGTCCTCGACTTATGGCCACAATGGAGCCCAAACTTTCTATTTGCTAAGCGAGACAATTGTTAAGTGAATCATGCCCCATTTTACGATGTTTCTTACCATAGTTGTTAAGTGAATCACTGCAGTTGTTCAGGCTGTAACATGGATATTAAGTGAATCTGGCTTCCCCAATGACTTTGTCAGGTTGTAAAAGGTGATCACATGAACCTGGGACACTGCAACCATCATAAATATAAATTGCCAAGCATCAGGAATTTTGATCACATATCCATGGGGATGCCGCAATGGCGATAAGTGTGAAAAAGGTTGTAAGGCCTTTTTTCAGTGCTATTGTAACTTTGAACAGTCACTAAACAAAGTGTTGTAAGTCGAGGACTACCTGCACTACAGTATAAACCCAGCTCAGCTCTTTTCCTATAGGTTTCTAAGATTCTCTGAAAATATTTAGGAGCAACAGTGAAGGTGTTAAGAGAGAAGATGGATACAAATAGCAGCAAACTTTGCACTGCCACACTAACAATTCACTTAGATATTGCAATCACATAGCCATATCATTATTTTTCAAACAAATCTCCCCTCCCCTCCCCAATCGAGGCTGAATCCTAACAAGATTATACACAAATCTTGGCAGCAAACCTTCCTTATATAAAAAGAGCACAGATGGCAATTCCCAAAATACCAAATTTGATCTGAATCTTACATAAAATGCTGACACCCTCTGGTGTTTGACTTGACAGGAGAAAAATTCCAGTTATTTAGCCCTGAACACAAAGCAATGATACTAAACCAAGAAAAGGCATCTTATGGAGCTTCAGCTGGTATTCTAGTTTTTATAAAATCAGTATTGGCAACGGGGTTTGACCCCAGCACAATTCCCGTCAACCCTTATTATTAGCAGCTTTCTCTCTTGACTCCTACAATATTGTGTAATAATAGCAACAACTGTTTTGGTAGAATTCACTGCTGGCAGACCTAAGTAGCTGAGAGGAAAATACACATTTGTCTTCATTTTAGAGTTCTGACTTTGACAGAAGAGGTTTAAAAAGAATGCAGTTTGGTTGTCTTTGTCCTCAAGAGAAGAAAAGCATTCGGAAAAAGATAGCATTGGCCCTTCAGCCTTTCCATAAGGCAAAAATACAGTGGTGGCTTGGTACTCAATTGCTTTGAAACTCATTGAATCTGGTACTTAAGGCATTCTGACATGAATATTTCGACCCAGTACTCACCATGTTTGGTACTCAATGCACAAGCTAGAACATGTCGATGTCAGCTGCCTTATCACTATGTTATTCCTTATGGGAAAAATTTGTTTGGTACCTATCCTTTTTGGTACTCAGCACGCCTCCAGGACCAATCAATGATGAGTACTAAGGTACCACTGTACATCTCTATTCAAAATGAACTGATTATCAAGGCCTTCCCCCAAATACACTGAGTCTGCAACTTCAGAATTCCCAGGTTACATGATGAATTCTATTAGACATGCTAACTGGGGATGCTAAGCAGAACAGGGCCAATATATCTAGAAGCATCACACTGAGGGAAGTTGTGGTAGAAGGCAACAAATCAAGCAGAAAAGCCCAAGCAATCTAAGTGTTAACAATCCCACTGTGTTGAGAAACCTTATAAATTTAATTAATAATAATTCCAGCAGCATATCATTTAGACAACAAATTCAAAGTAATGAACTGCTCTTCATAAATACTTCTTTTCTTGTACGCTATTCTTTTACTTTTTACTGTATTTCCAAACAATTTTTCTTCCTAGCTTGCAATTCTAATATTTTAAAGACTTACTGTGAGTTTGTTTACAAGATGACCAAAACTGGCAGCTATCTTCCAAGTTAAAAGCTCTGCTTCTTCATACTCCAAATGGTGACATCTCTTGTTCAAACTACAAACAGGATACTTATTCCACCGGACTGCCATATCTTGTTTTATATAAAGGTAACAACACAGCTGGATATATCATCTCCAGGGTAAGCTGTATTACATAGTGACATGCACTTCTGAACCACAACAATGCCTTTTTAAGTCTTAGAACCCATCCATTCAGTTTAGAAAAGATTGAGAAAAAATAACTGATGAGCTGACTTAAAAGATTTAGTACATAAATAATATATGTAACCATTTGCAGAAAAGAAACAGTAGACCCAAGTTGTAGCCAAATGTTTTAGCATGGTCTTCTGAATTGCAAAAGTGACAGAATTCTAGAATGAATGTCCTACTGATGGCACTGTTATGGGAGAAAATCAACAAGCCAGGTTAAAGAAATGCCCAGTTGGAATAGTTTTAAATTATAGGTCATTTTTGCCTCAGGATTGCGCACCAATGAAGTTTGGGGAGGAATTAAGGTGATTTAGGAGGTATTCTTGTTTCTGCAGGATCACTCAGTTTGGATGATTTCACTGAGATTCCGGTTAACTTTTCAGCCAATGATCAACCAATCCCAAAGTTTTAAAGGGAGTTTTAAGTGCCAAAAATGAATATGTTTTTGACTGGAAGCAAAACAAATGTGAAGAACAACGAAGTAATTCTGTACAATGTGTTGCCTTCTATAACAGCCTTCTGTCTTTTGAAAATGATTTTGTAGGTAGTTGCCTAAGAAACCACAATGTAGCTATTTCCTGGGCAAAATCTTTTTCCTCAGTATGAGTCGACAATGCTTTGTTCAGGATGACACCATGAGTTGGAAGGAGAAAAAAAATGAGTTGATCCATTCTTGAAGCTGAAAAGGAGAGAAATGCAATTAAATACAAAGGGAGGGGAAAAAATCCCACAGTTACACAAAGATAAAATATGGTATCATCTGGGGTTTGAAGATCTTTTTACAGCCTGCTTTGAAAAATAATTTTCACTGATTAATGGAAGGTATTTTTCAAATGCTACAATGACCATAGCAGATTTTAAAGTCTAAGATATAGAACTGTCGGAAGACACAGATTTGATGAAGCATTGCAGCCAAAGCTGCCAATTGTAGAGCAACAGAAAAAGGCCATTCCATTATATTACATTCTTTTATTATCTCTCTTCAAACCTTTAAATAGTTCCATTATATGCTGCAGATACTGCACAATGGCTGGGTTTACATACTGCGCTGTCACAATCTGATTCAGCATCTCATGTGAACTCAGTCATTGTGATTCAATGGGTCTCAATACACCAACTCAGTGCAATACAGTTCTAGAAAAACATAGTTTATAACATAGCATGTTGAAGGAACAACCAAATTAGATTTAATCAAGAAACTTAATTAAGGAAGTTTGAATGAGCTAGAAATGTCACTTGCAGAAAACTAGGCCTTTAAAACCCTCAGCTACTCCTGGTTAGCAGAATACAATCTATCCCTGTGACTCTTAATTGCAGTAGCACAGAAATTTAAAATATTTTAATGTTGCATATTAATAAATGAACCCAAACCTGGATAAACGAGGTAGGTTGAGATAAGAGCTGGAGACTCACCTTGTAAAAACCTTGCCAAGAGATTTTTATGGAAAGGTTTTCAAATGGATCAGACATGCTGCCCAATGGTAGGACGTACAGATCATAAGGTACAGATAGTCCTCGACTTACAACCACAACTCAGCCCAAAATTTCTGTTGCTAAGCAAAACATTTGTTAAGTGAATTTTGCCCCATTTTATGACCTTTCTTGCCACAGCTGTTAAGCGAATCACTGTTAAGTTAGTAAGATGGTTATTAAATGAATCTGGCTTCCCCATTGGCGTTGCTTGTAAGGTCGCAAAAGGTGTTCACATGACCCTGGGACACTATAACCGTCATAAATATAAGACAGTTGCCAAGCATCTGAATTTTGATCACATCACATGGAGATGCTGTTACAGTTGTTAAGTGTGAAAAACGGACATAAGTCACTTTGAACAGTCATTAGAGGAATTGTTTTAAGTCAAAGAATACCTGTATTACACAAGAACAAAAACCCGCAATAAGTAGTCAAATCATTCATGATACGCTTGGGGCAAATTCAGTAGGAAAAAAAACCCACGCTAATGCAGCCATTGGTGAAAACAGAGTCCGCACTGCATGAAGATACATCAGATAGGTCCCACGACCAGCTGGCCCCGCTCACCCACACCCACCCTATCCTGTCCTATATTACTGTGTTTTTCAGCTGAGCTGATTTGCGCGGCACAGTGGATTTCTGCACCTCAGCTGTTTTATTTACCGGGGCTGCTGTAGAAGGTAAGCTGTAGAGCTTGAAATTGATGTATTTTGCACACTGCTCACGCGTGCAAAACACACTCTCATAGAACCAGTAGTAAAAATATCTGAAACCCATCACTGGGGCCAAGCCCTTCAAAATCCCAGGAGTCCAAATCTACACCCCAACAATTAATGCAACAGAGCTTGAAATAAAGGGTTTCAATGCCAGCATTGACAAAACTCTGAAGCAAGTGCCTAAAAAAAGACATTATTTAAATACTGGGTGATTGTAATGCAAAGATTGGCAAGCAAACAAAAGCAGGCATCAATGGCAGCTTTGGACAATAGAAGGAAGTAATTGTTTGGTTCGATTTTGCCATGAAAACCAAATTTGAATCATGAATTCCTGGTTCAAACAGTATTCACTTATATATTTGACGTCACAGAATAAACTGCACTGTAATCAGATTGACTACATCCTAAGCAGCCACTGATGGTCCTGTCCTAGCTGTCAAGACATATCCAGGTGCTGACTGCAGTTCAGATTACGAATTGTTGGTAAGATCAAATTATACAGCATCAAAAAAGACTATACCACCAAAATCCCTACCACATTTGCAATTGAGATGAAAAATGAGTTTGAACTGCTGGACACTGCTGGGAAGATGCCCAACGTAATGTGGCAACAAGTTCAATCAACTATAGTTAAAACAACAGTTGAACACATACAAGAAGCCCGAGGAAAAAATGGCTCCCAAATGAAACTAGTCAGAATAGTTGAACAAAGAAAAGCAGCAGACAAATGGGAAGAAGAAAAGAAGACTGAATGCAGATTGAAGAGAACAGTAAGAAAAAACAAATGAAGTTTACTAGGACTACCGTAGCAAGCAGCTAGAAAAATGAAGGGCCACATCAGGAATCCATTTGTACAAGTCAAAAGGATCCAAACACCATTTACTGCTCATAAAAGCATCATCGCAAACAAGCAAGGGAAAGAATTGTCTTATCAACGAAGTGTCAAGGACAGATGGAGAGAATATAGAGAAGGGTTGTATGCCAGCGATAAAGAGGCCCAACCTCCTCAGAATGATGAGGAAAGGGAAGCAGAAATAGAAGCAGCCATCTTTCAGGAAGTTGTGAGGATACTGAGGCAACTGACAAACAAGGCCCAAAATGTTGATACCATCCTCACAGAACTGTCTAGGCCAGCACCACTACAACCATCACAGCCCTGTGCTAGAAAATTTGGGAAATGAATATATGGTTGTAGGTTTGGAAATGAATAGGGTTCATTTTATTGCTAAAAGGAGTAACTCCAAGGATTGTTCCAATTACCACAAAATTGCCCTTATTTCTCATCCTAAGCAAGATTCTCCTTAAGATCATCCGGCACCAGCCATCAAAAGGGAAGTACCAGATGATCAAGCTGGCTTCAGAAGGGGTCATGGCATATGCTGGAAAATCTCAAGAATATAAAAAATAATAATCTACATCTGCTTTATTGACTACAAGAAAGTGTTCCATTGTGTTGATAATGACAAGTTGTGGAAAGCTCTAGAAGCCTGAGGTGCCAACACATCTGGTCAACATGATGCAGTCGTGCTGTCGCAAATCTGGAAGCCACTGTGCAAACACCATATGGAAACACTGATTGGTTCACGCTACAGAAATGAGTCTGGCAAGGTTGCACACTTTCACTTTTCTGATTCAATATATATACCAAAATGATCGTAAGGAAGTTGGAAGTTGAAGAATTAAAATCTGAAGCAAAGATTGGAGGAAGAACATCAACAGTCCTTAATATGTTGATGGCACAACTCTTCTCTCAGAAACCTCTGATCAAAAGGATGAAAGAAGAAAATAAGAAATGTGGCCTGTTCCTGAACAGTCAAAAGAGACCAAGCTCATGACCACTGAAAAAAACAGAAATATTTGAAATAACAATTGACAGTGAAGACATCAAATGTGTGCAAGAATTTCTCAGGATTGCAGATTGATTGAAGCAGCAAATGGAGTCCAGAAATAAAGTGTCGAATCAAACTGGGTCATACAGCAATGATAAACATGAATAGAATATGGAAAACCAAGGATAATCAGCTTGGCAACTAAATGCAGATTAGTCCACTTTATCAGGTTTCCCATAGTTACCTATGGTTGTGAAAGTTGGACCATGAAAAAACTAGGGGGGGGGGGGATCAAATCACTTAAGTTGTGGTGTTGAAGGCTCTTGCACATTCCCTAGGTAGTAAAAGGTGATAAACCAGCCAGTACTGGAGCATATAAAACTAGACATATTGCTGAAAGGAAAAATTTAAAAATTCCATCTTGCTTATTTTAGCCATGGCATGAGAACAAACTCATTGGAAAAGCAGTTATGCTTGGCTATGCTCACAGTGATCAGTAGTGAAGGGAAAGATGGTCACCAAAAAACATGGTGCCTAGACACCATCAAAACCAACACCAGCCACAGTATAAAACAACTGAAAGGAAGATAAAATCGGAAAAAGTGGAGTTGGTCCACAGAATTGCCAAGACACAACTGAATGGATAGCATCATTATTAATAACTGAAGAAAAGAAGATCATTTCTGGATACTTAAAAAATAGATGATGGACGGTTCCTTTAAGGATAGAGACTTGTTTATACAACCTGCCATAAAAAGGCACTTCACCTCTGAAAATGGCAAATCATAGGCTATTAATCTGAGTTGCAAATATCCAAATAATCACTAGGTGGCAACAGTGATACAGAAAAATATTATTGTCATGCTAGGTCAGGAGTTCTTAAGCTATTTATGCTATGGGCCTGTTCAGAGAATTGTGAAATCTAAGGAATCCGTGTTTAATAAGGAATATATTTAAATGCATAAATAAAACGCATGTGGATTATCTTACAAAGTACATCAGTTATCAAAATACTAAAATATATCACATGTAACAGTAAAAAAAAATCTATTATTCCATTAAATTAATAGCAATACCTTATTTTAGGGTATAATAATTTTAGACTTAGAGATTTATTGAAAGGCATAAATAACTGTGCTGCCTATATACATTATTGAATGAAAAGCTACATTTCCATCAAAGGTTAATGAAAACGAAGTTGTCATTTTTTTAACTACTCAACCTCACAGAAATATAGGTTAAGAACCCCTGATCCAGGTGATCATCTGGATTAATGAAGCCCAGGTATGATACTGTATCCCTAATGAATTGAATTCTTTACTGTCATTGTACACAGTATACATACAACAAAATTCACATAATGTATTAGAACATCACGTCTAAAGATGGATTGAACCAGTTCACATGGAAGCAGGCTATCATTTTAAGTAGTTATATTATTAACATTTACTATACTGTATTTCCTAAGGACTATAATATCGTCACAACAAAGTTTATGCTGCTTTCACAAGCGCAGCAAACTGCACCTTTCTCCAGTGTCTATGAAATAGGCTTAAAAATGGAGAATGGATGGAAGGAGGCAGAAGGGACAATGAAACTGCACTACAGTATGGTCTCTGCATCCATCTAGCGATAGGTACTTAACACTGCAGCCTTGTTGT